CATCTGGTTGACATGAACATTTCACCAGGATTCAGTGGCTGAACATGCTTCTGAAGTCTACAGACACTATAAACAATTTTTAAAAATTCCTTTATGTGATTTTGGCATTGCTGGCAAGGCTGATTTTTGAAGCCCACCCCATACTGGCCTTAAACTGATTGACTCTCCAGGCCATTTCAGAGGGCAGTTAACAGCCAACTCCATTGCTGTTGGTTTGCAGTCACACAAAGGTCAGGCTAGGTAAGGACAGTGTTTCCTTCCCTAAAGGACGCCAATGAACGAAATGGGTCTTTTGCAACAGTGATCACATGATTGCCATTCTATTTAATTTTATTGATTTCAATTTTCACCATTTGCCATGACGGGATTTGAACCCATGAGCTGAGCATATTGATTGGGCATTTGGACTATGATCTCAGGTTTGAGCTGCTGCCAGACTTTGGTACGAAGCAAAGAACATCGTCACAGCACAGCTAATGCAGAAACTTCAGGTTAATTGTGAACCTACCTGTAGACTGTGCACCCAAAGAGAGTGGTGCCGCTGGTTTGGGAGCTGCTGTAGTTGCTGGGGTGCCAAAGCTAAAGCCAGTTAACGTGGGTGTTCCATTGGTAGCTGCATTGAAGGTAAATCCACCAGCTGCTGTAGTCTGGGTTGGGGCAGCCAGGGTAGAGGTGAATCCAAACCCAGTGGAAGATGTTGACTGAGCTGTGGTACAGGACCCCAGCCCAAAACCTCCGACAGCTGGCTGTGTGGGATTGCTGCCAAAACTGAAGCCCATTGGTGCTGTGGTCTGAGCTGCCGATACAGAGGCCAAGGCTGGACAAGTGGTGGTGGTGGTGGTGCTGGTAGCAGGAGCATTACTGAAGGAGAAGCCAGAGACTGGATTGCATCCTGTGCCACCAAACCCTAAACTTGGCTTGTTCACTCTGCACAGAAAACATAAAATTTAATTATTCGAACTGTAGCCCTGTCTGATACCCAACCCATACCATGAATAAACCAGGCCCTGTCAATCCTGGAGTAAGCACTGAACCATGAATAAAGCAGGATCTATCTATTCTGGAGTATACAATGAACCAGCAATAAAACAGGTCTTGCCAATCCTGTGTTTAAAAACCAAAAGAACTGCGGATGTTGTAAAACAGAAGTTGCTGGGAAAGCTCAGCAGGTCTGGCAGCATCTAAGAGAAATCAAAATTAATATTTCAGGTCTGGTAACCCTTCCTCAGAACTGATGGTAGCTAGGAAAATGTCAGTTTATATGCAGAAGACAGGATTGGCGGGGGGGAAGAGAGAATAAGGAGTAAGTGATAACAGAGAATAAAGCCCAAAGGAGAGAAGACAGTTGGACACAGAAAGGAATGGACAATGATCTGACTGGATGAGTGAATTGCTGTTAATGGAAACTGTTAGTGACTAACAACAGGTAGTGTGTAACGGCAGACTACCAAAGCCTGGTGTGTGGGGTAGGGGCTGTGCATGGGAGAGTTTGAATCTGGAGGGCTGCAGGATCCCCAAGCAGTAAATGAGGTGCTGCTCTTCAAGCCTGTGGTATATTGACACCAGAAAAATAATCCACTGATTTTCCGAAGCTGGTAATGACCTTGACCTGGGTTTGAATCTTCATCGTGACAGACGGTGGAACTTGAAGTGATTACCTCAGTCCCCATCCTCACCCAGCTGAGCAATAAACCTGTTCTGCCTATCCTGGAGTATAGAATGAACAAGATCAATATTAAAGACCAGCATGGTTTCTGACAGATGTCAGATGGTAAGTAACAGAAGGGAATCTCAAAACCTGACAGCCAATTTAGGAGCAAAAAAAGAATTTATGCATTGCTGAGGTATTAAGTGATGTTTTACATCTTTCTTTACCAATGATAAAAGTGTTACCCGGGCCAAGAAGAAAATTCAGACAATAGAAGTGTTATAAATTGATGAGGAGATATAGGATAGGCTGTATGCACTTATCAAGGCACCAGGGCCAAATGACAGGCATGGAAGGATACGAAGGAAGTTCAACAGCAGAAATTGCAGAAACACTGGACATTAACATTCAGGTTTTCCTGGACTCAGAAGTGCTGTCAGAGGTCTGAAGAATTGCAAACATGTTCTCGTTGAAAACATTTAGCCCAGCAAATGTAGGCCAGTCACCTTAACCTTGCTGGTGGTAAACACTACAATTCAGGACAAAAATTAATACGTCACAGAGACAAATGTGGGCTTTAATAAACATTTATTTCACCAATATCTCAAGAGATTTGGCTTTCACAGCCTTCTGTAGTAGAGAATTCCACAGATTCAGTCCCCTTCGAATGAAGAAATTTTTCTCATCTGGCATATAAGTGGTCTACCCTGTCTTCTGAGACAGTGTCTTGATTCTAGCCTCCACAATCAAGGAAAACATTCTCTCTGTTTGATGTTAATCCAGTTCTGTTAGAATTTTTCATGCTTCAATCAGATCCTCTGCCATCCTTCTAAACTAGTGAATTCAGGCCCAGTCAAACCAATCTCTCCTCACAGGAGGGTCCTGCCACCCCTGTTATCAGCCTAGTGAACCTCCTCCATGGCACGTATATCCTTTCTTGGGTAGGGTGCCAAAAACTTCATACAATACTCCAACTGTGGTCTCCCAAGACCCTGTATAACTACAGTGATGACATCCCTACTTCTAAACTCAAATCCTCTTGCAATGAAGCCCAAATTACCATTTCCTTCCTAATTGCTCACTGCTCCCACCTGTCTCCTAGTGTGCAGGAAACGTAGATCCCTTTGTACATCCATGTTTCCCAGTGTCACCAGTTAAATAATACTGTGTATTTATGCTTTCCACACAGGTGTAATAACTTCACATTTAGCCATGTTGTGCTGCATCTGCCATGTGTTTGCCCAACCTGCAGACCTTTCAGCCAATTTTAGGTCATGGAATTAAATGGATAGTTAATAAGAAATTGACTGAATGACATGAAACGGTAATTTTTAAATGAATTTCTGAAGAAGGGTCCAGACCCAAAACATCAGCTTTCCTGCTCCTCTGACGCTGCTTGGCCTGCTGTGTTCATCAAGCTCTACACCTTGTTATCTCAGATTCTCCAGCATCTGTAGTTTTTACTATCTCTGAATTTTTAAATGAAAGTGTTTTTTTTTGGATCTGAACCAAAGAAGAGAAACTCTCCAGAGTTTGGTCTTGGTACTCTTTCTTTGATTGACCATCTCGCAATGAGAATTGAGCGATCTCTATTTGACATCTAATGGCATCACCATCCCTGAACGCTCCATCAACATTCTGGGGCTTCCAATGCCCATAAACTGAAATGCAGAATCCATAGTGTTGCTACAACATTAGGTTAGAGGCTAGGAATTCTGCAGCAAGCAACTCACCTACTGACTCCCCAAAGCTTGTCCACCATCTACAAGGCACAAACAGAAATGTGACCGAATACTCCCCATTTGCCTGTGGGTGTGCAGCTCCAACACCAATGAAGAAGCATGAGAGCAACCAAGAGGAAACAGCCTGCTTGACTGCCATAACCAGAAACACACACTACTCCCCCCACCACTGATACATAGTGGCAGCAGTGTTTCAGATGCACTGCAGTAAGTCACCAATGGGTCCTTTGACAGCACCTTCCAAACCTATGACCGCTACCTCCTAGAAGGACAAAGGGCAACAGGCACATGGGAACACTTCCACCTGCAGGTTTCCTTCTAAGCCACTCAGAATCCTGTCTTAGAAATATATTGCCATTCCTTCAGTGTTGCTGAGTTAAAATCCTAGAACTTACTCCATAACAACATCACGGATATCCATACACATCACGCACTGCAAAGATTCAAGGCAGCTCAACATCATATTCTCAAGTTCAACTAGGGATGGGCAAACAAGTGCTGGACTTACAAGTAACATCCACATCCAAGAAGGTCATGACAACACAAATTACCAAGACCTACGGTCCACCCATATCCACTTTTTCTCCCTCCAATGCCAACATTCTCTATTGAACTCCTCAACACATCCATCCACTCCCTCCAGTTCACTCACCCACCTCCAGTCCAGTCTGTCGACTGTGAACATTAAATGTGTAGGTACAGACTATGACCTACCCAAGAGAGAAGCCTCCAGTGGTGGCAGTTGTTGCTGGCTGTGTTGGCAGGCAGAATCCAGTGGATGATGCGACTCCAGTGGTGGGTGTGCTGAACGAAAACAGACCAGTGCTGGGTGCTGAGGTGGCCGTTGTTGTGACCTGCTGGGGTGTTCCAAAGCTAAATGCCCCTTGGGAGGCTGCAGTGGTGCTGCCAAAAGAGAAGGCACTCCCTGTGCCTGCACCGGTCTTGGGGGCAGTGAAGGAGAAGCTGCCGCCTCCAGCCGGATTCCCAAAATTGAAGCTCATTTTGAAATCTAGAGAAAAATGGAAATTATCAGTTCACTGGTTGCGGCCTGTTACGCTACGTGCGCACTCAAGCAACGGACTTAACCTCCTCCTTGCTCTAACCTAACCCGCCCCATCCCCAACCCCATCTACCTCACTTCCTCGCCCTAAAACCCTCACCCCAGCCCCATTCCCCTTCCTTCCCTCCCCGGCCCCATTTTCCCTTCCCACCTCTTCACCCAGCCCACCTCTCCCCCAACTCCAATCTCTCCGGACGAGATGTCTGTCTCTTGGGGCCGAGTTGATGTTCTTGCCCTCTCACCTACCCCGGAGTCCGGGGCCGATTCACGGAGGATCCCCTATACAAGTTCGGCCTGGGACTGGCGCGAACGACAATGGACTCTCTTGGTCTCTAGGTCGATACCGAGGCGATCTCGCTTCTCTTTTTTTTCTGTCTATTTCAGGCCCCAAGTGATCCCGCTCTCTCACAGGCACTGTACGAACAGCTTCGCTCTCCACACACTTCCCAAGCCCGCTCACTCTGATTGGCGAAACCGTGTACCCGTCCCCTCGGTCCAGCATCACCGCTGCTGATTGGGCCCCGAGGGCGGGAAGTGCATTGGTCCAGGGAGCTGTCAATCAAATCTCGCCGCCATGTCCATGGTTCCCATAGCGACGCGAAGAATCGCTGGAATAGTAAGTGTGAGGAAGGGAGGAAAAGTGAGAGGGGAATAAAGGGTGAGGGAGGGTGTAGGGAGAGGAAGAGATCGAGTGAGTTAAAAATCGAAAGTTTGAGGCAGGGTGTAGAGAGAGAGAGAGAAGACAGATTGAGTAAGTGAGTTAAAAAGAGAAAGTTTGAGGGAGGAAGGGACAGACAGACATTGAGGGAGAGATGTAAGTGATAGAAGGAGGTAGGGAGAGAGTGAATGCGGAAAGAGTGCGAGGGAGTCTGAAAGGTTCATCAGTGGAATAGACTTGACAGAGGAGGAACGTAGGAGGGGTTTTAAGAATGAGATCCTCTGGGGAATATGTGGTGGTAGGGACAGAGGAAGGATGAAATATTGAATCAGCGATAGTAGGAACTGCAGATGCTGGAGAATCCGAGACAACAAGGTGCAGGGCTGGATGAAATATTGTTTTTTTTCACTTAGTGTTTAAAGTATATTTTCTACAATTGTACCATGTGCCGCATCATAATTTATCTCAGCAAGTAATTGCTCAGTGCACCTTTGAGGAGTACATATGCCTTTGCTTCAGCTCACAAACGTGTATAGCAGCAGATTAGTTATTATCCTGGTTTAGATGCATTACACAGACAAAACTTACTTCTGTCTGTTTCCTGTAGCTTGCTTTACTTGGAATAAGTCATTAGCCTGTTGCCAGAGGCTTAGCGCGAGGGATGCCACTCCTCATCATGCATGGCTGATTGGAAAACTCTCCACTCTCACTGCCTAGTGTAAGCAGGTTGGAAGGAATTTGCTGGTTGATGCTCCAACCTGTTTGGCCAACTTTGGCTTCAAAAAAGCAACGGGGAGGTGGGGGGTTTCAGTTGGTAGTTACTTAAAAAAAAGGAAAGCAAAAAGAGGACAAGAGAAAACATTGAAGGGTAACATTGAGGAAATTCCAAAGGCATTTTATCAGTGTATTGGGGGAAGAGAGTAACCAAACGAAGAGTTGGGACTGAAGTGGCCACTTATATATAGAGCCAGTAGATTTAGCTGAGGTTTTAAATGAGTACTTTGTATCTGTATTCACTATAGAGAAAAATTATGAAGGTATATAAATCAACAAGGGGGGGCTGCAATATATTTTAAAAAATTCGAAGAAGATACCAAAAAGGTTGATGATGGCAGAGCAGTAGATATTGTTTATTTGGATTTCAGTGAAGCCTTTGACAAGCTTCTGCATGGTTAGGTCACATGGGATTCAGAGTGAGCTTGCCAACTGGATACATAATTGGCTTAATGCAGAAGACAGAGAGTAATGGTGGAGGGTTGCTTTTTGGACTGGAGGCATGTAACCAGCCGTGTTCCACAGGGATCAGTTCTGGGTCCTCTCTTGCCTGATATTTATATAAATGATTTGGATGAGAATATAGAAGGCATGGTTAGTAAGTTTGCAGATGACACCACAATTGGTGGCATTGTTGACAGTGAAGAATGTTTTCTAAGATAATAGTGGGATCTTGATCAAATGGGTCAATGGGCTGAAAAATGGCAGATGGAGTTCAATCTGGATAAATGCAAGGTATTGCTTCTTGGTACAACAAACAAAAGTCGGACTTGTACAGTTAATGGTAGGGCTTCGGTTAGTGTTGTAGAACAGAGAGACCTAGGGCGCAGGTTCATAATTCTTTAAAGTTTGCATCACATATGAACAGGATGGTTAAAAAGGTGTTTGGCATGCTTGCATTCATTGATTAGTTGCTCAAATTCATAGTGTGGTAAACAGCGAGGAGAAAGCCTTAGACAGAAGGATGGTATGGACATGTTGTTCAGATGGGCTGAACAAATGGAATTTAGACTGTAAGACATAGGAAGACAAGTAGGTCGTTCAACCCCTTGAGTCTGCTCCACCACTGAATGGCATCAAGGCTGACCTGATAATCCTCAAATTCATGTTGCTGCCTTTTCTTCATAGCCCTTGCCAATAAATACTTGACCCAAAATCTTTTATAGACCAACAAGTAAAAGAGTAGTAAAGGGAGGAGTTTTGCCAATTAGAAATCATAATGGGGATATACGGATAGAGGCAGTGAGCTTGGCTGAGGTGTTACATGAATACTTTGCATTTGTCTTTACTAAAGAGGGAGCTGCTAACTTAGACAAAGTAACTGAGGAGGAAACTCTGTCACTAGAAATATTTATAATTGATAAGGTGTAGGTATTGGGTAGAGAGTTGGTACTTGGATAAGGCACTGGGACTGGATAAAATGCATCCAAAAACTTTGAAGAAAGTAAGAGTGGACATTGCAGGGACCAGGACACACAATCTTTCAGTCTTCCCTCTACTCAGGAGAGATGCCAGAAGGCTGGAGAATTGCAAACATTACAGCCTTTTAAAAAATATTGAAGAAATAAGCTGAGCAATTACAGACCAGTCAGTTAACTTCAGTGGAAGGAAATCTTCTGCTAACAATTATTTAGGATAAAATTAGAAGTAACATGCAAAAATGTGGTTTGATTAGGAAGCATCAGTAAGAGTTCCTTGAGGGGAAATGATGTTTAACTTTCTGGAATTTTTTGAAGAGCTAACAGAAAGGCATAAAAGTTGTCTGTTCACCACCACCTTCCTAACCACAAAACCTCTCTGGGAAGTTCGGTTCAGTTAATAAATCTGTAATAAAAAGCGACTCTCTGTAATAACGACCATGCAATAGCCAGATTGATAGAAAAGCCAGTCTAGTTCTTAAATATCATTGAGAGAAGGAAATCTGCTGTCATAACCCTGTCTGGCTACGGGCTTGTGACAGTGTGGGTGACTCTCTAGTTGTCTTGAGTGAAGTTAAGGATGAATAATAAATACTAGCCTTGCAGAGATGCTTATGTCTCACAAACAGTTCAAGAAGAGTATTGTCATGCCTTTCCGTTTTCCGTTCTCTCTTCCTTCTCCCCCTGCCCCATGGTTCTGTTTCACCCCCTCCAACTTGCCTCACATTACTTGATTTGATGCTGCACATCTCAAACATTAATAAAGGAAGCTCACAGATTCACCCCTCACAACCCAACCTGTGCCTATACAACATTGTATGAAGACCTGCGTCCGAAGCAGGAATGTATGTGGATGTCTGCAGTGCCAGGGTGTACTTACTGTCGACATACCAGCTGGTAAACTAACACAATTATTGGTGAGACAGTATAAATTGGTTCTAAAAGAGGATCCTTTCTCTTGCAAATAGGGGCATTTATTCAGCTCTGACAAGGTAACAAGATGGATTTCACCTTCTCAGCTGACCAACTGCAAGCTTTGTCAAACCTGCTGTCCTGTTCAGATCGAGAAGAGGAGGAACTGGATGAGGAGGTAATTCTGAACATGTCCCACAAACTTAGATCGCTAGACTGGATCAGGGCTTGGGGATTTGGTTTTGTTCCACCTCTCAAAGGACTGGGATCATTTCTCAAGGGATTTATGGAACTTACTATGAAATTCCAGGATAAGGAGCAGCTCAGCCTCACATTGTCTATATCTGACTGAATTGTTTGAAAACCTAAAATACCATTTGGCTCCCATTCATCTTCCAATAAATCAAGCCCTCAATTGAATAACCTTCTCAGTTTGTTTAAAATTAGTTAATTTTAATGACAGCAAAAAGTTACTCAGAAGCACAAACCTCACTGCTTTTCTCACCATACTCTTGAATCACCTATCTCTCCATAAACTCACATAAATTGAAACTGAACTATAAATAACTTGTCATGTACAATTAACTACAGGCAGAGAGTCCCTTAATTTAATCTAATCTGAAAGACAGTTCTGACTGTCAACCTGAAGAGTATCCTCAGGAATGGCATTTCAATCCAAGACTATCTTACCCAGAGACACTTCAGTTCATTCAGGAAATGTCAGTATTTTGGCCATTTGACCAGAGTTGAAAAGCTCACTGCTGGAGTAGGTGATGGAAGGCAGCAGAAAGGATTGACGTGGAGGTGTACTTGGATGATGAATGTCGCATAGCAGTTGCAGACAAAGTGGAGTAGGTGTGTAAGGATGATGCAAGACAGACAAGTGTGGCTTACTATAAGAGCAGATCTCCTGGCAGCAGTATTCCAACCTCAGTTACTCTTCAGATGTGAAAGGTTGCAGACTTCATTTCTTACTTGCCTTATCGTTACCCTGGCTTCCCTATTTGTGGACCCATTGCTTGTTCATAACAATGGGACTGTAATTGCCAAAATAATACCCCAAAAGCTGTGGTACTGTTGATTGATCTTGAAAAGAGAGAAGACCCATAGTGCTCTTTGGTATGCAGTTTTATGAAGAAGTTGTTTTGATAACTTCTGTGGGAAAGTGCACAGTGGAGTCTCTTCCGGAAAATTAAGATTCCAACTGCAGTTTTATCCTTTGTGTTTCAAATCCACCTAGGATCATAGTTATCTCTGTGATGTAGAACACAAACACCTTGAAGAACATTTGGAGCCTTAACCTGGTGTGCAAAATGTCCAAGACTGAGAAACAAAGTCGAACAAAGCCTGGAAGTTCATCCATGGCAAATTGAAGTCAACTGGGGTGGATGGAGAAGCTAACAGTTCAAGGGAGACAGAATGTTCAAGTGTGGGGTCAGACAGTATCAACACCTTAACTTGGGGGGGTGGAGTGGAGAGAGAAAGAGAGAGAGAGAGAGTGTCAGATCCTTCAGGAGTTAGAAGGAAAGTGAATCAGCACCTGCAGGGGAGAGAAAAGGAGAGAGTCAGCTCCCGCTGGGTAGTGGAGGACACAGAGAGTGAGAGCAACTTTAGGGAAGAGATAGAGAGAGAGAGACAGCAACTTCACAGGGGAGAAAGAGAGAGAGTGTCAGCTTCTTCAGAGGAGAGAGAGAGAGACTCTCTCATCCTAAGTGGGCAGAGAGAGAGAGAGTCAGCTCCTTCAGGGAGGAGGAGAGTGAGAAAATCAGCTTAATCAGGGGCGAGAATGAGATACAGCCCCTTCACAAGAGAGAGAAAGAGTCAGCACCTTCACAGGGGGGAAAGAGAGAGAGAGAAAATCAGTTTTTGAGGAGATAGAGAAAAAGAGTCAGCTCCTTCAGGCGAGGAAGAGTGAAAGTGAGCACCTTCAAGGGAAGGGAGAGGCTCAGCACCTTCAGCAGAGAGGGAGTCAGATTCTCAAGTGGAGGTAGAGAGAGAGAGAGAGACATAGAATCATGTAGCATGGAAACAGACCCTGTGGTCCAACCAATCCATGTCGAACATAATACCAAACTAAACCCGTCCCACCTGCTTGTTCCTGGCCCATTTCCCTCCAAACCATTCCTATTCATGTACTTATCCAATTGTTTTTTAAATGTTGTAATTGTGCCCACATCCTCAGGATGTTCATTGCGCACACAAACTATCTCTTTGTAAAAAATTTGCCTTTGTCTTTTTTAAATTTCTCTCCTCTCACCTTAAAAATGTGCCCCTTTGCCTTGGAGTCCCCCATCCTTGAAAAAAACACCTACCATTAACCCTATCTATACTCCTCATGATTTCATAAACCTCTATAAGCTCACCTCTCAACCTCCTATGCTCCAGTGGAAAGAGTTCCAGGCTTATCCAGCCTTTCTTTATTACTTAAACCTTCCACACCCAGCAACATACTGGTAAATCTCTTCTGAACCCTCTCCAGCTTAATAATATCCTTCCTATAACTGGATGCCCATAACTGGACACGGAACTTCAGAAGAGGCCTCACCAAAGTCTTGTACAACCTCAACACAAGTTCCCATCTCCAATTCTCAAAGGACTGTTTACGGACGATGCAAAGATACAAATTGAGGAGGATTGTCAGAGGATACCGCAAGATATAGATCAGTTGGAGACATAGCAGAAAAATGGCAGATGGAGTTTAATCTGGACAAATGTGAGGCCGTGCATTTTGAAAGGTCAAGTACAGGTGGAAATTATACAGTGAATGGCAGAACCCTTAGGACTAGTGATATCAGAGAGATCTGTGTGTGCGTGTCCACAGATCACTGGAGGTGGCAGCACAGGTAGCTAAAGTAAAAAAGGCCTATGGCATGCTTATTTTCATTGGAAGGGGCTTTGAGTATAAGGATAGATAAGTTATTGCTGCAGCTTTATAGAACTTTAATTAGGCCTCAGTTGGAATATTGCATACAGTTCCAGCTACCACACTAACAAAAGGATATGGATGCTTTGGAGAGGGTACAGAAGAGGTTTACCATGCCTGGTTTTGGGAATTTTAGCTATGAAGAAAGGTTGGATAGACTGGGTTTGTTTTCACTGGAATGCAGGAGGTTGAGACCTGATCGAAGTTTATAAGATTGTGAATGGCATGGATAGAGTGGAAAGTATGAGGCTTTTTCCCAGGGTAGAGGGGTCAATTGCTAGGGGACATAGGTTCAAGGTGTGGGGTGGTGGGTGGGCGGGGAGCGAGGGAATAGTTTCAAAGAGATGTGCAAAGCACGTTTTTCACACAAAGGATGGTGGGTGCCTAGAACACACTGCCAGAAGAAGTGGTGGAAGCAGACACAATAGCAGCATTCAAGAAGCACCTGGACAAATACAGGAATAAGAAGGGAATAGAGGGATATGGATCCTGTAAGTGAAGGGCAAAATGTGCCAGTGCAGGCTCGGAGGGCTGAAAGGCCTGTTCCTGTGCTGTAATGTTCTTTATTCTTTGACTGAGCAATAAAAGCAAGTGTGCTAAACACTTTTTTAACCACCATGTTATATGTGATGCAAACTTCAAAGAATGATGTACCTGAATCCTTAGGTCCCTCTGCTCTAAACACTACCCAAGGCCCCACCATTAATTGTACAAGTGCTACCCCTGCTTGTTTTGCTAAAATGCAATACCTCACATTTATCCAGATTGAATTCCATCCACCATCTTTCAGCCCATTGACCCATTTGATCAAGATCCCTTTTTAATCTTAGAAAACCTTCTTCACTGTCTACTATGTCATAATTTTGATGTCATCCGCAAACTTATTAACCATGCCTTCTACATTCTTACCCAAATCATTTATATAAATAACAACCAAAAGTGCACCCAAAACCGATCCCTGTGGAACATCGCTGGTTTCAGGCCTTCAGTCTGAAAAGCAATCCTCTACCACCACTCTTTGTCCCCTGCCATTAAGGCAATTGGTAAGCTCACCCTGAATCCCATGTGACCTAACTTCACTAATTTAAAGAGAGTCAACTCCATCAGGGGAGAAAGGGAGAATCAGATCCTTCAGGAGGGAAACAGAAAGCAACTTTAGTAGAGGGAGAAATAGCATCTTTAAAAGAGAGACAGAGAGAGAGAGAGAGACAGAAAGAGTTTCAGCAACTTCAGGGGAGACAGAGAGAGGGACAGTCAGCCTCTTCAAGAGAGGGAAAGTGAAAATCAGCATCATAAGGAGAGGAGAGAGAGAGGGAGAATCAGCTCCTTCAGAGCAGAAAGTAGACAGATAGAGAACCAACTTCTTCAAGGGACAGAGAGAAAGAGAGAGTCAGATACTTCATGGGGGGGTGGAGAGGAAGAGAGATAGTAACATCAGGGGGGAGGGAGAGCCAGCATCCTTGGGGACACAGAGAGAGAGTGCACCTTATTGGTGGGGGAAGAAAGAGAGAGAGAGAGAAAAAGAAAAAGAGTCAGCTTCTTCAGGAGAGAGAGAGAGAGAGTAGCAACTTCAGATGTTGTGGACCAGACCAAACCCCCTCAAAATGTATTAAGAAGATAGCCTAGACCTTATCTTTTCCTTATTTTAAAGGCAAGACGTTGCATTTCAGATTCACATCGATTGGGCAAACTATCAGTCTTGAAGCAAGTAGTACCAGATGATTGGAGTTTGGCAAATGTTATCCCCTTGTTCAAGAAAGGAAATAGGGATAATCCTGGGAAATACAGACCAGTCAGTCTTACTTCTGCGGTGGACAAATTATTGGAGAGGATTCTGAGAGATAGTACTTATGATTTCTTGGAAAAGCACAGTTTGATTAGAAATAGTCAGCATGGCTTTGTGAGGGGCAGGTCATGCCTCACAAGCCTTCTTGAATTCTTTGAGGATGTGACAAAACACGTTGATGAAGGTCGAGCAGTGGATGTGGTGCATATGGATTTTAGCAAGGCATTTGATAAGGTTCCCCATGGTAGGCTCATTCAGAAAGTTAGGAGACATGGGATTCAGGGAAATTTGGCTGTCTGGATACAGAATTGGCTGTCCAATAGAAGACAGAAGGTGGTGGTAGATAGAAAATATTCAGCTTGGAGCTCGGTGACAAGTGGTGTTCCGCAGGGATCTGTTCTGAGACCTCTGCTCTTTGTGATCTTTATAAATGACTTGGATGAGGAAGTGGAAGGTGGGTTAGTAAGTTTGCTGATGACATGAAGGTTGGTGGAGTTGTGGATAGCGTGGAGGGCTGTTGTAGGTTGCAACAGGACATTGACAGGATGCAGAGCTGGGGAAAGAAGTGGCAAATGGAATTCAACCCAGATAAGTGTGAAGTGATTTATTTCGGAAGGTTGAGTTTGAATGCAGAATACAAGGTTAATGGCAGGATTCTTGGCAGTACGGAGGAACAGAGGGATCTTGGGGTCCATGTCCATAGATCCCTCAAAGTTGCTCCCCAAGTTGATAGGGTGGTTAAGAAGGCGTACGGTGTGTTGGCTTTCATTGGTAGGGAAATTGAGTTTAAGAGGCACGAGGTTAAACTGCAGCTCTATAAAACCCTGGTTAGACCACACTTGGAATATTGTGTTTCGTTCTGGCCGCCTCTTTGTAGGAAGGATGTGGAAGCTTTAGAGAGTGTGCAGAGGAGATTTACCAGGATGCTGCCTGGACTGGAGGTCAGCACCTTCATGGAGAAGACAATGTGTTAGCACCTTCAGGGGAGAAGGAGAGATGTGGCACCTTCAGATGAAGAGAGAGAATGTCAGCACTTTGATGGGAGTGAGAGGGAGAGAGAGAAAGCACTTTAAGGGAAAAGAGACATTCAGCATGTTCGAGAGTCAGGGTGAGAGAGACTCAGTGTCTTCAGTGGAGAGGGAGGGAGTATCAGCACTTAGGTGGTGTGAGAGAGAGAGAAAGTAAGCACCTTCAGGGTGAGAGAGAGGGAAGAGAAGAGAGTCAGCACCATAGCAGGATAGTGAGAGATAGGTTCGGTCAACACCTTCAGAAAGAGAAAGAGAGAGCACCTTCAGGGGAGAGAGGGTGTCAATACTATCAAAGGAGCAAGTGAGAGAGAGTCAGCACTTGCAAGTAGGGGAGAGCGAGTGTGAGTGAGTGAGAAAGAGCGAGTCAGCACCTTCATGGGAGGGCAAGAATGACACAACGATTTCAAGGGCATATAAGAAAGATAGAATGTCCGCTTCTTCAGCGCGGGGAGAGAGATAAAAGAGAGTCAGTAGCTTCAGAGGAGAGCACAAGGGAGTAGCAGCTTTAGAGGGGAGAGAGTTAGTGGCAGCTCCTTCAAAGAAGAGAGAGAGTTAGCTCCTTTAGTTGGGGGAGAGTGAGGGTGGGATCAGCACCATCAGGGGAGACAGACCTTCAGCGAATAGGGAGATAGCACCTTCAGGGAAGAAAGAGAGAGTGAGTTACCTCCTTCAGGGGAGAGAGAGTTTGAGTATGTTTGGGGTTGGGGTTTGAGAGAGGATCAGCATCTTCAATGGAGAGGGAGGGACAGTCAACACCTTCAAGGGAGGGGGAGAGAGAGAGAGAGACAGCACATTCAGGGTAGAGAGAACACCAGCACCTCCAGGGAGAGGGGGGCGGGGGTGGGCGGGGAGTGAGAAAGAGAGAGAGAGAGAAAAAGTCATCACATTCGGTGTGGGGAGGGGTGTGAGAAAGAATCAGCACCTTTTACAGGGAAGGAGGAAATGTCAGCACCTTCATGGTGTGAGAGAGAGAGAGCAAGTCAGCACCTTCAGGGAGAGGGAATCAATCTTCAGGGGAGAAGGAGTGGGGGGGAGAGAAGGAGAGTGTCAGTAACTTCGACAAGGAGAGAGAAGAGGAGAGAGTCAGCTCCTTTAGTGGAGAGAGAGAGTGACCACCTTCATGGGAAAGAGAGAGAGAGAGAGTTAGCATCACTATGGGGTGAGAGAGAGAGGGAGAAGTCTACACCTTCAGGGAAAGAGCTGGGGGGGTTGTGGAAGAGAGAGTCAGCATCTTCAAGGGAGACAGTAGGAGAAAGAGTCAACTCCTTCGGGGGAAGAGAGAGATTGAATATATTTGGGGTAGAGGGGTGAGAGAGATCATCTTCAGTGGAGAGGGAGGGCGAATCATCACCTTCAAGGGAGAAAGAAAGATTCGGCATCTTCGGGGAGAAAGAGAAATTCGGCATCTTCAGAGGAAGGAAGAGAGTCAGCACCTTCACGGGAAAGGGAGAGAAGGAGACTGCAAGTTTTGGTGGCGGGGTAGAAAGAGTCAGTCTTTTAAAGGAGAGACGGACAGTCAGCACCTTCAGCGGATGGGGGAGAGAGGGAGAGATAGCAGCTTCTCTGAGGAGAGAGAAAGAGAGGCAGCAACTTCAGGTGAGAGAGTGTCAGTATCCTCCGGGTGGGGGATTGGGGGGGAGAGTCAACACGTTCAAGAAAGAAAGAGAGACAGATTTAGTACATTCAGGGGAGAATGAGAGAGTCAGCATCTTAAGGGGCACAGACAGAGAGAGAGAGAGTCAGCACCTTCAAGGCAGAGAGAGAGAAAGAGAGGGTCAGCATGTTCAGGAATAGATGACAGAATTGAGGGATCAACGTTGCTGTCTCACTTCAGCTATTCAGTAAGTTTGTCGAGGTTTGCTGTTCTGCTCCCATCCCAGCCCAGAAATAGTTACGTGCTGAAATCTGGATGGGTACACAGTCAGTGAAATTGTTGTGAATGGTTAAACATGTCCATGAATAACAGTTCATTTGCTATTTCTACGTCCCCGGACGAAATACCAATACCCAATATTGAATTACCTCAGTGAACCAAGTTGAAGATTGATTACGTTTAATGATCATGGAATGAAAGGCACTGTATCTGTTTACAGCCTTGTGCAGGAGGTTTTGAACTGAACCCTGGGCAGATTGGGCCACCTAAAGGATCGAATCCTACAGCTAAAGAAGGTAAATGCTAACAACAAAAACTTGACTTTGATTAATTGGATTGGCTTTGCTATAGTAAACACAAGGCCACGTGAAGAAATTGATATTTTTCAACGTGTGATCCCCTATACCCTTCCTGATGGTGACCTGATGGCATTGATAGGTGGGGGTTGGATTTCATCTTGTTTGCAGTTTCATCAGTTTGTAGCATATGTAATGTTCTGCTCTGTTATCTGCTGTTTGTTTCTCTGTCTTTTTTCTTTCCTTGTGATTCTCTCACCTTGCATTTTGGACTTTTACAGGAAGAAATGGAGGAAACAGTAGAAGTTCTGATGACAGTCCTCTAACCCTGGGTGGTGCCAGTGGACTGGAGGATTTGTAAATATTAGCCCCTATTCAAAACATTGCAGAGGGATAAACTTGGCATGTACTGGCTAGTCAATCTATCAACAGCGTGAGGAAACTTTAAGAGTAATGAATTAGCACAAAATTAATTTTTAAAAATGTTTTAAATATTTAAATATTGATATTAAATACAGATTTAAATATTGCTAAAAGCAGACTAGAAGTTGAAGATTTTTGCCTTGCACTCCTTAAAACTAGGATGAAATAAACAGACTTGAAAAAAGTGCCACCATTTTATAAAGCATGATAAAGAGTACTGTTTAGTTGGGTCATCATTGGTATGGAGATGCAGCAAACTAAAAGTCAGTCTTAGAAATGGGCCTCCCATTTCGGATTGAAATGAGGAATTATTTCTCCTCTCAGAGGAACTTGAGTATTGGAACTCTCTTCCACAGACAGCAGGAGAGGCTGTGTCACTGAGGGATGATCTGGAGGTGAGGATTGCGTGGTAAGAATGCAAAGTTAGGTTCACAGTCAGATAAGCCATGATAGTGGAATAGCAGGCTTGAGAGGTTGAGTCATCTGTTGCTGGTTTTAAAACAAAAGCATGATCTTTGGCTTTCATCATCAGATTTGAAAGCAATAAGAGTCAGGCTGAATCTTTATAAACATTGAAATATACAAAAACAAATTGCTGGAGAAACTCAGCAGGTCTGGTAGCATCTATGGAGAGAAAACTGTGAGCAAAGAATGTCCACTAGAATGAGCCATGATATAGAGGGTTATCTTAAGCGCAAAGGCTAAACAGATTAGGACTCTACTCATTTAGATGATGAGAGTAAAGTCATCAGCTGAATAACAAGTGAAGGGATAACCTTTAGAAGAATAAGAGGTGATATTATTCAAACGTATAGAATTCTTAAGAGGTTTGACAGTGTATACGCTGAGACCATGTTTCTCTAATGGGAGAGTCGAGGATCAGAAGGCATTATTTCAGAATAAAGCCATGATGTGGAAGTGCCAGTGTTGGACTGGGGTTCACAAAGTCAGAAGTCACACAACACCAGGATAAAGTTCAACAGATTTATTTGAAATCACAAGCTTTTGGAGCGTAGCCCCTTCATCAGGTGGAGTGAGAGGGAAGCACACAGAACACAGAATTTATGGGCAGAGCGATCAAGGGCAGAGAGATCAAAAGATCATACAAATGGCGTGAATGGATGTTGAATAATAAATCTGTGTAGATGATCAGAAGTGTTAGACGGTGTGAATAAAGTGTTATCAGCTGATTATCAAGTGAAGGGATGACCCTCGACAGGCTGAATGGCCTAATTTCTGCTCCTATGTCTTATGGTCTTATGGACCTATAATCCGATCAAATGAGGCAGAGAGATAATTACAAAAAATTAAAACTAAGGTGGCGCTGGAGACAAACCAAATGACAAATCCAAATCGCCAAGTTCCATACCCATGAAGACAGCCTCAACCGTGATCTTGGGTTCATGTTGCGCTACATGTGACCCCACCACACTGTTATGTATCTGTCTTCCCCACTGTCCTGTTTTGACACCATCACCTGGATAAGTTGTTATGATCTCTGTACCCTAATTAGTTTGTACAGTTTTGGATTACTTATTACTTTGGTTAGACCCTCAGCACGCGACTCTTATACCTATCCTGTTATTCCAGTCATTTGGTTTATCTCCAGCACCACCTTATCTTTAATATTTTATAATTATCTCTCTGCCTCATTTTATCAGCTTATGGGTTATCCCTTCACTTGTTATTCAGCTGATGACTTTACTCACACCATCTAACACTTTTGATCACCTGCAGAGACTGATTATTTGGCACTCCACTCACACCATTTGTATGATCTTTTGATCTTTCTGCCCATAAATTCTGTGTTCTGTGTGCTTCTCTCACACTTCACTTGACAAAGGGCTATGCTCTGAAAGCTTGTGATTTCAAATAAACCTGTTGGACTATAACTTGGTGTTGTGTGACTTCTGACTCAGAATGAAGCGATGCCAATTTAAAACTGAGATGAGGAGGAATTTCTTCTCTCAGAGGGTTGTGAATCTTTGAAATTCTTTGCCAGAGAACTGCAGTGCAGAGTCCTTTGTATATTTAAGTTGGGGAATCAAGGGTTACAAAGAAAATGCAGGAAAGTTGATGTCTGGAATTTTGGATCAGCTGTGACCTATTGAATGGTGGAGCAGGCTCGAGGGGCCAAATGGCTTACTCCTGTTTCTATTTCTTACAGTCTTAAAACAAAGTTCACTTATCAAGTCCAATGATCCTTCTTCAGAACTTTGTGTGTTTCTGATGTCTGATATCCGCAGTACTTAGTTTTATTTTAGACTTTACAAATATTGGTTAGGTGTCAATTGGAACATGCTTGCCAATTCTGGGCACTTAAAATGGTGCACAAGAGATTTACTTAAATGGTCCCGGGAATGAAGAATTTCAATTCTGTGGAGAGCCTGGAGAAGTTACTGTTCTCCTTCATGCAGAGAATGTTAAATTGAGATTTAATACAAATTTAAGCGAATAAATAAGTTGAATTACCACAAACCATTGTTTTGCACAGCTAATTGTGTTAGATATGTTGGTGGAAGCAGGATATAGGGTCTAGGCCCGAAACATCAGCCTTCCTGCTCCTCTGATGCTGCTTGGCCTGCTGTGTTCATCCAGCTCTACACCTGGTTATCTATGGTAGCATTGTGGTTGTGTTACTGGACCAGTAATTTAGAGGCCTGGACATGAGCTCAACTTCCACCATTGACAATTATACAATAATTATTTGACAGAAGAAGGTCATTCGGCTCATTGGGTCCATGCTGAATATAAAGCAAATTCAGCCAATCTTACTCCCTCGCCGTTTCTTTGCAGATCATTGCAGTCTTTTTCTGTTCAGTTTTTTTTATTCATTCATGGGATGAGGGCATCATTGGCTAGCCCAGCATTTGTTTGCCCATCCCTAATTGCATTGTTGAATGTGATGATGAACTACCTCTTGAGTTGCTGCAATCCTTGTGGCCATAAGGCCATGGTGTCAATAGGGAAGAAGTTCCAAGATTTTGATCCAGTGGTACAGTTCCAAGTCAGGATGGTGTGTGATTTGGAAGGGTGGTCCTTGTTCCCAAGATCTGCTGCCCTTGTTTTTCTAGGTGGCAGAGGTCATGGGTTTTTACCCCAAATGCTTCTCTGTTGTAAAACTACAGTAGTTGTTGCTTTTGAATATATCCTGACCTGAATCATCCCAGCATTACTTTCATTGGTTCAAAATCCTGTCTACTGTCCTAGTTATTTTACTCATCTATTGTGCTAGTTATATCATTCACCAGGACACAGACACTGATCTACTTCCAGGATCATTTCCAAATTAACAGCTCTCTCCATCTCTAGTTCTGGTACCAGTGGCCCATGAAATGAAACTCCAGCCTTCCTCGCCACTCCTTCAAACAGGCTAATGTAATCAAATCCCTCATGTGTAGGCCCTATAGAACATGCAACATGTCTGTTATCTATGGGCTGTCTAAAAATTGTAGATTGGAAATTTTTTGATGGACAGTACAAAGTCTCTGAGTCACACTCAATTGGCTCTGCATTCACTTCCTGCTTTATGATGTGTACAAACTGTAGAATGTAAAATTTACAGAAAACTTACTGTCTTTGACACATTCTTCTAGGTTCTGGAAGAATCCAAGAGGATTGAAAAAATGCCAATGTAATACCCTTATTCAAAAAGGGAGGGACACAAAAAGAAAAGGCCTCTGTCATAGGGAAAATGCTGAGTTTATTTACAAGAGCATTTAGAAATATATAATATGATCAAGCATAGCTTCATGAAGGGAAAATCAATCCTGACAAAACTTTAGTTCTTTGAGTATGTAACAAGCAGGGTAGCTAAAGGGGAACCAATAGATGTAACAAAAACAGAAGTTGCTGGAAAAGCTCATCGGGCCTGGCTGCAGCTGTGAAGAAAAAATCAGAGTTAACGTTTTGGGTCTGGTGACCCTTCCTCAGAACTAGATGTAGTATTTTTGGATAACCAGAGGGACTTGATAAGGTACTGCACCTAAAACTACTTAATAAAATGAGCCCTCGGCGTTGGGGGTTGTATGTTAGCATGGTTAAAGAATTGCCAACTAATAGAAGACAAAGAGTTGAGATAAAGGAGCATATTCAGGATGGCAATGTGCCGAGTGACAGAGATCAATGCTGGACCATTATTATTTGCAACATATATTAAGTGAGGAAAGTCTGCAGAAAGCTGAATCACAGAAGGATTTGGGAGTCCTCATGCATGAATCATGAAATGCTTCCATCCAAAGCCACTGGTAATAGTGCAGGCAAATGGGATGTTGCCTTTTATTTCAAAGAGAATGCAGTATTAAAATACAAAGTCTTGCTAACACTATACAAGTCACTAGTTAGACTACAACTGGAATACCGTGAACTGTTTTGGTCTTCTGATCTAAAGAAAGATATGCTGGCATTGGAAACAGTCAAGAGAAGACTCACGAGGTTGATACCGAGAACGGAGGAATTTTCTTATGTGGACAGTTTGAGTAGGTTGAGCTTGTACTCAGAGTTTGGAAGAATGAGAAGAAACCTTATTGAAACATACAAGATCCTGAGGGTTGATGTGAAGGGGTTGTTATGCCTTA